CTAAATCCCCAACTCGTAACACAGGGCACACGAGATATAGAACTTGGGTACACGAGATATAGCACCAGGGCACACGAGATATAGCACCAGGGCACACGAGATATCGAACCAGGGTACACGAGATATAGAACTAGGGTACACGAGATATAGAACCAGGGCACACGAGGGGTATGGGTACTCACCTGGCATTGTTCGGGTAGGGGTATAGAGCAGCAGGGCACCAGGAAGGGGTATAGAGCACCAGGATGGGGTATAGAGCACCAGGATGGGGTATAGAGCACCAGGGCACCAGGAAGGTATAGAGCACCAGGAAGTGGTATAGAGAGTACCAGGAAGGGGATAGAGCACCAGGAAGTGGTATGAGCACCAGGAAGGGGTATAGAGCACCAGGATTGGGTATAGAGCACCAGGATTGGGTATAGAGCACCAGGATTGGGTATAGAGCACCAGGATTGGGTATGGGGTACAGAGCACCAGGAAGGGGTATAGAGCACCAGGAAGGGTATGGGTACTCACTTGGCATTCTTGGGGTAGTACTCGAGAAGGCCTCGTCGGGACTCCAGGGTGCCGGTGTAGTAACTCTCCACACGATGGGTGGGTGATGTGTGAGAACCATACCCGTCTGCGTTCAGCTGTAACAAACACAAACAAATACAGTGAGTTACAGTCTTATTACAGTAACAAGGACAGCGAGTTACAGTCTTATTACAACAACAAGGACGGTGAGTTACAGTCTTATTACAGTAACAAGGACAGTGAGTTACAGTCTTATTACAGTAACAAGGACAGCGAGTTACAGTCTTATTACAACAACAAGGACGGTGAGTTACAGTCTTATTACAGTAACAAGGACAGCGAGTTACAGTCTTATTACAGTAACAAGGACAGTGAGTTACAGTCTTATTACAGTAACAAGGACAGTGAGTTACAGTCTTATTACAACAACAGGGACGGTGAGTTAGTCTTATTACAGTAACAAGGACAGTGAGTTACTTATTACAGTAACAAATACAGTGAGTTACAGTCTTATTACAGTAACAAAGGACAGTGAGTTTCATAAGACGTGAGTTAGTCTTATTACAGTAACAAGGACAGTGAGTTACAGTCTTACAGTAACAAGGACAGTGAGTTACAGTCTTATTACAACAACAGGGACGGTGAGTTAGTCTTATTACAGTAACAAGGACAGTGAGTTAAGTCTTATTACAGTAACAAGGACAGTGAGTTACAGTCTTATTACAGTAACAAGGACAGTGAGTTAGTCTTATTACAGTAACAAGGACAGTGAGTTACAGTCTTATTACAGTAACAAGGACAGTGAGTTACAGTCTTATTACAGTAACAAGGACAGTGAGTTACAGTCTTATTACAGTAACAAGGACAGTGAGTTACAGTCTTATTACAGTAACAAGGACAGTGAGTTGTCTTATTACAGTAACAAGGACAGTGAGTTAGTCTTATTACAGTAACAAGGACAGTGAGTTAGTCTTATTACAGTAACAAGGACAGTGAGTTACAGTCTTATTACAGTAACAAGGACAGTGAGTTACAGTCTTATTACAGTAACAAGGACAGTGAGTTACAGTCTTATTACAGTAACAAGGACAGTGAGTTACAGTCTTATTACAGTAACAAGGACAGTGAGTTACAGTCTTATTACGTACAAGGACAGTGAGTTAGTCTTTCAGTAACAAGGATAAGTCTTATTAGTAACAAGGACAGTGAGTTACAGTCTTATTACAGTAACAAGGACAGTGAGTTACAGTCTTATTACAGTAACAAGGACAGTGAGTTACAGTCTTATTCAGTAACAAGGACAGTGAGTTACAGTCTTATTTCAGTAACAAGGACAGTGAGTTAGTCTTATTACAGTAACAAGGACAGTGAGTTACAGTCTTATTACAGTAACAAGGACAGTGAGTTACAGTCTTATTTCAGTAACAAGGACAGTGAGTTACAGTCTTATTACAGTAACAAGGACAGTGAGTTAGTCTTATTACAGTAACAAGACAGTGAGTTACAGTCTTATTTCAGTAACAAGGACAGTGAGTTACAGTCTTATTACAGTAACAAGGACAGTGAGTTACAGTCTTATTACAGTAACAAGGACAGTGAGTTACAGTCTTATCTGATAACAAGGACAGTGAGTTACAGTCTTTTACAGTAACAAGGACAGTGAGTTACAGTCTTATTACAGTAACAAGGACAGTGAGTTACAGTCTTATTACAGTAACAAGGACAGTGAGTTACAGTCTTATTACAGTAACAAGGACAGTGAGTTACAGTCTTATTTCAGTAACAAGGACAGTGAGTTACAGTCTTATTACAGTAACAAGGACAGTGAGTTACAGTCTTATTACAGTAACAAGGACAGTGAGTTACAGTCTTATTTCAGTAACAAGGACAGTGGTACAGTCTTATTACAGTACAGGACAGTGAGTTACAGTCTTATTACAGTAACAAGGACAGTGAGTTAGTCTTATTACAGTAACAAGGACAGTGAGTTACAGTCTTATGCAATAAGAGACAGTGAGTTACAGTCTTATTTCAGTAACAAGGACAGTGAGTTACAGTCTTATTACAGTAACAAGGACAGTGAGTTAGTCTTATTACAGTAACAAGGACAGTGAGTTACAGTCTTATTTCAGTAACAAGGACAGTGAGTTACAGTCTTAATACAGTAACAAGGACAGTGAGTTACAGTCTTATTACAGTAACAAGGACAGTGAGTTACAGTCTTATTTCAGTAACAAGGACAGTGAGTTACAGTCTTAATACAGTAAAGGACAGTGAGTTACAGTCTTATTTCAGTAACAAGGACAGTGAGTTAGTCTTTTACAGTAACAAGGACAGTGAGTTACAGTCTTATTACAGTAACAAGGACAGTGAGTTACAGTCTTATTTCAGTAACAAGGACAGTGAGTTACAGTCTTAATACAGTAACAAGGACAGTGAGTTGATCTTATTACAAAGGACAGTGAGTTAGTCTTATTTCAGTAACAAGGACAGTGAGTTACAGTCACATCAGTAACAAGGACTGAGTTAATCTTATTACAGTAACAAGGACAGTGAGTTACAGTCTTATTACAGTAACAAAGACAGTGAGTTAATCTTATTACAGTAACAAGGACAGTGAGTTACATTTATTACAGTAACAGAGACAGTGAGTTAATTTTATTACAGTAACAAGGACAGGGAGTTACAGTCTTATTACAGTAACAAAAACATTTAATTCCAGTCTTAACCCTCAAAAAATCAAGATAGAATTTCCCTTCACTAAAAACAAAATTAAGTTTCATGCAATAACGAAAAAAATCACACAACCAAAATATAGGTCAAGTATAATACGTAAATAATTTCACCTTAAAATAACTGATTCTGTTTATTTCATTTCTTTATTTATTTACTTATTTACTTTATTATTTTATTTTTATTTTATTGATTTATTTTTGTAACAGAAGCTAGCGTGTTTCAGTGGTGGGGGGTGGTGGGATGGAGGAGGGAGGTGGAGGAGGTGGAGGTGGAGGGGGTGGAGGAGGTGGAGGAGGTGAGTGTGTGTGTGTGTGTGTGTGTGGAAAGAGAAATAGGAGAGGAGGAGGGTGGGGAGAGAAAAGAGGTGGGAGGGTTTAAAAGACACAAAGGGGTGGGTGGGGAAGGAGGGTCTTTCCTGCCTTCCTCTCCCCCACCCCCTCTCACCTCTCCCTACACCTCCCTTCCCTCCACCTGGACATACCTCCGTCCCTCTATTCAGTGTGTAAGAATAGGCCAGGGACAGAGCCATCCAACCACACTTGTCAACACCGGGGAATTAAAATCTCAATATGGGACTCTACCAGGGACAATGGCCTACCAGCGCCACCTCTACCACCACTGTCAACAACACTGTCACCACCACTGTCAACAACAACACTGTCACCACCACTAACACCACTACTGTCAACAACAACACTGCCACACTGTCAACAACAACACTGTCACCACCACTGTCACAACAACACTGCCACCACCACTGTCAACAACAACACCTCACCACCACTGTCAACAACAACATGTCACCAGATCCAACAACAACACTGCCACCACCACTGTCAACAACAACACTGTCACCACCTGTCACAACACTGCCACCACCACTGTCAACAACAACACTGTCACCACCACTGTCAACAACACTGTCACCACCACTGTCAACAACACTGCCATCATCACTATCAGCAACAACACTGTCACCACCACTGTCAACAACAACACTGTCACCACCACTGTCAACAACAACACTGTCACCACCACTCACAACACTGCCATCATCACTGTCAACAACAACACTGTCACCACCACTGTCAACAACAACACTGTCACCACCACTGTCAACAACAACACAGTCACCACCACCAAAACAACATCACCACCACTGTCAACAACACTGCCATCATCACTAACACCACCACTGTCAACAACAACACTGTCACCACCATGTCAACAACAACACTGCCACCACCACTGTCAACAACAACACTGTCACCACCACTGTCAACAACAACACGTCACCACCACTAACACCACCACTGTCAACAACAACACTATCACCACCACTGTCAACAACAACACTGTCACCACCACTGTCAACAACACTGCCATCATCACTAACACCACCACTGTCAACAACAACACTGTCACCACCACCGTCAACAACAACACGTCACCACCACTAACACCACCACTGTCAAACAACACTATCACCACTGCAACAACACTGTCACCACCACTGTCAACAACACTGTCACCACCACTGTCAACAACAACACTGTACCACCACTGTCAACAACACGCCATCCACTAACACCACCACTGTCAACCAACACTGTCACCACCCACCGTCACAACACACTGTCACCACCACTGTCAACAACAACACTATCACCACCACTGTCAACAACAACACTGTCACCACCATGTCAGCAACAACACGTCACCACCACTGTCAACAACCTCACCACCACTGTCAACAACACTGCCATCATCACTAACACCCCCTGTCAACAACAACACTGTCACCACCACTGTCAACAACAACACTGTCACCACCACTGTCAACAACAACACCGTCACCACCTGTCAACAACCTGTCACCACCACTGTCAACAACAACACGTCACCACCTAACCACCACTGTCAACCACCACCACTGTCAGCAACAACACTGTCACCACCCTGTCAAACACTGTCACCACCACTGTCAACAACAACACTGTCACCACCACTGTCAACAACAACACGTCACCACCACTAACACCACCACTGTCAACAACAACACTGTCACCACCACTGTCAACAACAACACTGTCACCACCACTGTCAACAACAACCTGCCACCACCACCATCAGCAACAACACTGTCACCACCACTATCAACCAACCGTCACAGCCAACAACACTGTCACCCACTGTCAACAACAACACTGTCACCACCACTGTCAACGCCACCACCACTGTCACAACAACAACACTGTCACCACCACTGTCAACAACAACACTGTCACCACCAGTCAACAACAACACTGTCACCACCACTGTCAACAACCCATCACCACCACTGTCAACAACAACACTGTCACCACCACTGTCAACAACAAC